GGCTGTGCGGGGCCTCGCGGTGGGCGCCGGTCCGGGGCTCCGGCCGGGGTTCAGGCTCGTGCTGGGGCTCCGCCTGCGCCGCCTCCCTTTTCCCAGCTCCGCGTCTGGCGCTCGGGCGGCGCATCCGGGTATTTAGCGGCGGCGGGCGGACCGCGGTGAGGACAGGGCTGCTGGCTGCCTGCTCCCGGCCCGGAATGGCGCCGCGCCGCCGCCATCTGTGTTTCTTCCGCTCGGCAAATCCGACCTTTCTCACCAGCCCGGGCCTTCCCGGCCCTCGCCAGCCCCTCGGGCGGCTGCCCGGGTCCCTGGGCTTCCTTGCTGGGCCCCCCGCCGGCCCGGCCGCCGCCCCCCGCGGCCTCCAAGCGCCCCAAACGGCGCAGAGGGCCGCCGGGGCGCCGGGACATTTCCCCTTTGCGGGGGGCTGGCTCTGTCGCGCCGGGGAGCCCCGGGGCGGGGAACCCCTCCTAGTAAAGCTCTCCCCTGGGGCTACCGGGGACCCCCACTCCCGACCTCCTGCGGCGCCCCCCGACCCGTGGGAGAGGCTGAAAAGCGACCCCAACTAACACACGCGGCCCCTAACTGGGCGACTCCCAGCCGGGCCGAAACGGGACAGGGGGAGGGGTCGCTTTCCCGGGGTCCGCCGGCCCCTCGGGGGTCACCCCGCCGCCAGCCCCCCGGCACCCCTGACCCCTCTCTGTCCATGGGGCCCCCCGAGGAAACTTTCCCTGGAAGAGTTGCTCGGGCACTTTCAAACTTCGTCCCTTCCCCCTCCGGGCCGCCTCTGCCCCCGCGCCGCCCCCCGACCTCCGCGTCCCGGCGCCCCCGGAGCGCCAGCCCCGGTGCCGCGCGGGGTCCCCGAGCGCCGCGGAGGGGCCTCGCGGGCCTCTGCTCGCCCTCCAGCCCCCCGAGTCTCCCAGCTGTCCTCACTGGCAGCTCATTTACATGCTCCCCTCAGCCCCAGCGCTTTGGGGGTGCGCGAGGCCGAGCTCGCTGCCCCCCACCCCCGGTTCCAGTTCTGGGGGTGCAGCCCCCCCCTTCCCAGGGAGGCGGGCTGTGTGCGGTTAGGGGGGGCCACTCCACAATGGGAGAATTAGTTGCCCCTCTCTGGGGCCCCGAGTGCTGTAGATACTCAAAAACGGGGTGCTTGAGGGGGAGACCGAAGACAGGGTCACATTCCGTGCATCCTGACGCATCCCCCGGGAGCGGGCAGTGGTCAGGGAGGACCCTGGCCCGGTACCACCGCCATTTTGCTAGGAGATGAGATGTCTTTGTTAGCATGCGAATGTCTTCCCCGGCTGCTAGGTCTTGTACAGACAGCTGGACGAGGGGTGTCAGGGTCTCTAAGGGGTTCTGAGGTGCAGAGGAACTGCACAGGCTTCAAGGCCAGCAGAAGGGACACCTGAGCCCTGAGCCCCCCTGGTCTGCCAGCCCTTACCTGTATACCAGGTCCCTTGGCAGCCTGGCTGGGCTAGGCTGAGTCTGGGATGCTTAGTCTCGGGACCCCTTCCCGCCCCCAAACCCTGCCCGGATACTCTTAGCAAACAGATCCCACACTCTGTAATTAAATAATACCCTGGGGGGGGGGAATGTTTGTAGCTGGAAGGAATGGTGAACAAATCTCTAAGTAAGGCCAGGGAGCTGTTTGCCATCTCCCCATATCCTGCAGACAAAGGGGGGTGGGGAAGGCTTAGATTGGTAGGGGCCAGGGACAAGGTTGGGGGTGATGTCCTCTGTAAGGTCTGTGGGCCCTGGCCTTCCCACCTCCTGCATAAGTCTCTGCCCAGTACCTGTGTCACCTAAGTAACTGGCACACCTGGAGACCTCATCCTGGGATTCCCAGTCACACCTCCCATCTGAGGGGGTCCCAGGCCCCGAGGTCACATCTGCGTCCAGTATGGCCACACCTTTCCTCACCTGGCCACACCTTCTCCCAGCCCCCTTCCCTACTTAAACCCAGATCAGCCCTCAGCCCCCCTCCTTTTCAGCCATGTGGTCTCTACCATGCACAGAGCGGGTAGCAGCTCCGTCAAACACTAAACTTCTCTTACTGTCTGGATATTGCATGGTGTTGTCTTTATCGGATACCTAATTAAACCTAGTATATTTAATTTACATATGGTATTTAATTTACCCTACAGCCCCCAGGGCTCCTACTGGTCCTGAGGAGTCTCAGAGGCCAGAGCAAAATTGTGTTTGCCCCCCCCCATCAAGGATGGATTCATCCAAAACAGGGGGGGGGGAAGCCCTGGTGTCAGATGCCTTCTTCTCTGTAACCCTGGCAGCAAAGGGAGGGAGTAAAAAGGTCAAGGGTTTTCTGTTCTGATGTCGATTATCCAGAAGTTTCCTGACTGAAAAACACAGCACTCTGTGGTAGGTTTGTTCTGGTTATGTTCAAGGACAGTTCTCCAGCATCTCACCAAGACCTGGAAAAGGAGAAAATACCCTGATACCCACCCCTATATCTGAGACCTTCCCCCAGAGAAGTGTCACCCCACCCCCCCAGAGACCTTCCCCGGAGTAATGTCCCCGCCTTCAGGTCCCTCAGA